CCCCCCTGTTACAGCTGGTCCAGCTCCTCCACTGGAGGCTCTGGCACTGTTAGCATCCATCGCGCCAACTCCAAGGTCCCCTCGCTGAGTCCATATTGGCAAACCCGCTGGATCGGCGGGCCCTCGCCCTGGCGAGCGATGGAGGGGAGGCGATGGTTTGCCAACAGCGGGGCTGTAATCCATCGTTGATTTCCAACAGACCCTCTGTTTGTATCTATAGATCTATATGTATGTGCTTGTTGTCTACGTACGTACGATGCACGCACGTAATACCTGCGTATGGAGGCAAAGTTCCTCGCTGCCTGCTTCAGTTTCACCTGCCTGCCAAGCTTCCTGCAGCGTCCCTCTTAACTGGTCAAGGGTGGGTGAAACTTGGAGATCAAGGACGAAAAAGAAGTTTTCGCACCTGAACCTATGACTCTGTCTTTGTGAGGGTTCGCCCACATGACATACTGATTCGAGATGATTGCTGTCAGGGCTGTGCCACCGTCAAAAGCAAATCCCCTACCATGCCAAGTCAAGCATATCAAAATCTTCCACCTTCTCTGCGGCAATTCCCGTGGCATGAGCAAGTTAGTTACTCCACTTCTCACAACTCCAGTACTCATTTCGCCACCTTCTTCTACTCACCAACCTCCCACCGTCCCACCTGCGGCACATTGCGGGACTGCTGTTGCACCACCACCAGATTCCACAAATGCTCCAGCTCTCGGCCAAGCCCATGCAAATCTGACACCGGCTGTGCAGCTGTTGGAACACACAGCACCGCCCACAGCACGGCCGCGCAAAGCGCGTTGGGGCGCCACATTGGGCAACCATGGAACGTCTGGTTGGGTGTCGCTGGCGTCGGCTGATGGATGGGTTCGGCTAATGCCCCGGGACAATCAGATGAATCTGTGATCTGTGATTTTGATGACCATACTCCAGACCTGTCCAAGTTGGTGAAATTGACAGGAAAGAGATGCTTGGTGTTGGAAAGTGCCAAAGTCTTGCAAAGGTTCTCAGACTACAAGGCTCTCTAGGTGAAGTTCTTGGAATAGAATTGCGCTTCTCCCCCTTTCTGGCAAGTTTTGCAAGCTGCTCTGCAAAAAAAGAGCAGAAACAAGAGGCCTTAAATCTGATCGGTCCCCCTCAAACAAGGTTGTGTCTAAAGGTGTATGACGGGATGATTGATGAGAACTCCTTCTGGCTTGAACCAGGCTCAGGGCAATGACTCCTGATCAAGACTTCTCCACGAGTGATGTGAGCTGAGTGAGTATCAGATGTTGCGAGGCCGAATGCGGAGCAGAAGCTGAAACCAAACACGCACCTTTTTGAGAGGCCGAATGTGCAGGCACACGTTTTTGCCGTCTGTTTGCAGCTCCAGCGACCGAACAGGTGACAAAAATGTCTTACACTAACAGGTGACAAGCAAACCGAACACGAAGTCAGCAAGAATACGACTGGAGTGGCAAGACCAACGGCATAAAAAGGCACAGTGCCTGCCTAACTAGAGCACATTAGAGCCCCTATTCAAAGGGATGCGTTCATCTGCTCAGTAGTAAGTGCCATCATCCTTGCCCTGGGCATCCAGCAAGCC